GTTGGTGCTTTGCACAGTAGACGAATTCGTTTGTCAACTCCCTCCTTTCTGGCCCACGATCATTCTCAAATACGATAACCAAGTTTCTACTTCCACTTCTAAATTTCGACCAGATTTTTAGGAAGTCTTACCCAAAATAGAGCAGCATTTATCGTACTTATTTCCACGTATTAGATTAGAAAAATTGCCTGCACCCTTTCTATGTTCTCTTGCTTTTCTTATTTTTAGTAAACTTCATGATATAGTTGTTTGAACAACTGGATTATTCGTATTGGACGATTGCTGTAAATTCTTACTTTTAAGGTTACAAAATGCGTAGAATTTCGAATATGCAGTAGGCTTGTTGAGTGATTAAGCTACTTAATACCTGATATAAAAGAATCCAATCAAGAACGACTACAAATAATGCTGAAAGACATAATGCACTACTGATGTAGCCAAGCTTGCATGGCTAAATAGACTCATTAAAATTTCAAATATCAACAACGAACTCTCATTTCAAACTAGTTGCTTACCCGATAAGGCTGATCTCAATCGTCTCATTTCGCGTCAATAGTTATAAAAGATTTAACTGTTATAGCGTTAATTGCAATTACTATCACGATACAAAGAATAACTTGATTACAACATGTGAATCAGTTACCTGCCTCGTCCACATCATTAGATTTTAATCGACTTAACACCTAATAGAATGGATAGTTTTACAACTTACAAGTGTATCATCCAATCTGAAACTATTTTAGGTGTACGTGATGGAAGTATTTTGGTCGGATGATACGAAACACATAATCTACCGACGCTATTCACAATTTTTTGATTTACAGGTTAGTTTTAATTCATAAAATTCATTGTTTTTCTCCAATACTTTTAGGCAACGCATTATTAATAATTTGAACATAACATGCGTCTTAAAAGATATTTGATATTCTCATACGTGAACTTTACAGTAGTGTTTATTTCTGCGCCAATATATTCTATGCACAAACTTTGGGCTACACTCGATCATACTGTATACTGTTCTAGCTCTACAAAAAGTATCTGCAAAACTATTCATTTTTACGCAGCAAAGATAACTTAACCTTAAACTTAAGACAATTCTGCAAAATTGTAATTGCTTACGTATTTGTAGGTCCATTTACTTGATCATTTTCCCACGGAAGCTGGGAGTAAAAATCCATCTCAGAGAACTATTCCATATTTGCCAGGTACAGTATTTAGCATAATTTTAGACTAACACATATTCTTATAATGTTTGATACCTAAAAATTAATGAATCGCGCGATCATTATCAGATTAACTCTAACGATTAAATACTATAGTATCAAATTTCATAAACTCTAATAGATTAATACTCGTCCTTGTAATTACATAACTAGGCAAAAAGCTGTTCGTTCGCAGTCATACCTACGAAACTGCTACTGGTCGAATTTATCCACTTCGACAGTATTGTAAGGTAACAAAAGTAATGTTAAGCTACTAAAACATTTCCCGACATTAATCTCAAGATGTATTATTAAGCTCATTTTATTTCTTTATCCACTATAACTTTATATGCAGGCACTAATTAAATTACCTGATAAAATTTCCTTATATGATCGCGTATTAAAATTTTTTGAGGTTAATGACTCAGATCTCAACCCTACTGGAGCGTAAGCAGCGTTAATTTTTATTATTTAACAGCAAATATAAAGTATCGGACAATTTTAAAAGTATTATTCTTTAGGAATAGGAGTGTGTTCGAAATTAACTGATAAAATACTAGTAATTGGTTAATCCAACGTTCAAAAAATTATCTTAGACAACATGGAGATTACTTAATATTAGTATAATATCCAAGCTAACCTTATTGTATTGCATTACCATTAGCTCTAAGGATACCAAAGGCAAAAAAAAGGGTGATAAATTGAAAGCTGGAGGTATTATTCTTATTGTATACTATCATTTTGGCATAGAGGAATCAAACATCATATTAACCTCGATTTATTGGATATAAGATCCGGACACTGAAGTTGATCCCGAGCCCATCAACATAGAATGTTACAGAGCAGTAGCTAGTTATAAGAAAGTTGAAAAAAATGAACTTAGTCTTGTCAAGGGAATTACAGTCGATGTTATTGAAAAACGAAAAAATGGCAAGAATTATCTGCAGTTAATACAAAATGTATTCTATGTGGTCATTTATGATAGAATTTTTAATCCTAGGATGGTGGTTTGTAACCGTTGAAGATGATCATGGTTGGGTACCAGCATCATATTTGGAAAAAATAAATGAAGCTCCAGATTATCAGGATGTAGAGCCCGAAGTTGAAAAAGGTAAAGTTATGTACAGGACACATATTATTGATCAAATTTCTTTTAACTTCTTTTATTTATTATCTTCTAGCTTCAAAAGAAATATATGTTACCACACAAGATGTAGAGCCGGGATATGCTGATGAAATTCCACTACCTAAAGGAACTGCAGTAGAAGTCCTGCAGAAATCAGAAACGGGATGGTGGCTAGTAAAGTAATTGTCTATAGTATAGTCACTCTTATCAGATCTACTGACAAATGCCATTAGTCATATCGTTGAACTCAAATACGTATTAAAATGGATGAAATAGGGTTAATGGCAAAGTTGGTTGGGCTCCGAGGGCACGTTTAGAAAGGCCAGTCCAATACTCAAGTAAAGTACTCCTTCGGCGTGATCAAGTTGAAAAAAAAATATCAGAATACTACGCCAAGGAAAATATTGCTTTGCAACAAACTAATCCTGGTATAATTTTTCACCTTTGATAAGATCTTGACTTATTAATTCCAGCAGCTGATATGAATCAAATTTATTATTTTTACTCTTATCGCATGGTTGGTAAAATTTTTATAGGAACAAGTGATGACCAAGATAGTGTTGATAAGGTACCGTAATCTAGATTTTTAAATAAATGTCTATGAAATATTCTTAATAGAAGTAATAAAATAGTTATTTAGATGAACAAAACTAATGATTTAATATTATTCCACATTGCTATATTGACTATTTGTATGGACCATCTAGAGCGATCATGGCGGCTCTTTTCGACAACGGGTTCAATCAATTTACATGACCGCTGATGAATTCGAATCAAATGACCCTAACTGTGTAAGCTTTAGTGTTGGTGCAACGGCTGAAGTTATTGAGAAATGCAAAGATTGGTGGTATGTTAAAATCAGTAATAGCGAAGGTTGGGCGCCGGCCTCATATATTGATAAAACGTATTTGAAGGCTTCTTCTCCTATTCCATCATCTCAAACTGCGAGAAAAGGGACACAAAATTCGTCTCCTGTAATAGATCAGCCGGAAAGAGATAAGGAAACATCCTCACCGAGACCAACCATCAAAGCACGGATGCAAAATTTATTACCAGCATCAATAAATAAGTCAGAAGGTGATAAGAAAACATCATCACCGAAAATGACTGCAAAAGCTCAAGCAAAGAATGCTTCATCAACTATAAATCAGTCAAATAATGACAAGAAATTACCACCACCTAAACCAGCTAGATCTGGAATTGTCAAATCAGGACGAAAAAATAGTGATGTTGAAGATGCCAATGGCAAGAACCCAAACGATGATACAAAGCATGGTGGATCAAATACTGAGATCGCAAAGCCTCAAATACAACTCCGACCGGTCCCACATCCAAAGAAAAAGGATTCTACTTCGCCCGCTGCATCTCCGAAACTAGCCTCTAGAAAATCTAATCCGAGTGGAAAGCATAAGCAGAGTAATTCGCAAAGCGGTGAAAACCCTGTATCTATAATTCAAGAGATGCGCTCCAAACTTAAAACAACTCAAAGAGCCGCACCAGTTGCTTATGGAAAATCATCTATTGACAGTACAGCTACTGTAAATAAACCAGAGATAACAAAGCAAAGACAAGTTCCTCTAAGACCAAAGCCAATAACTCACAAATCCAAGGAAAATGGAAACTCGGTAAATAACAATGAGGCAAAGCAAATCGCCAGCAGTAATCCAGGTAATTTACAAGATGTTAAAGCAACTGAGGCTTCCTCAGTTTCTAATCACCTAGCACGCCCTGCAGTCAAAAAGGAGTCATATCGTGTGCTGTACGAATTTAGTAAAACTTTCAATGGAACAATCGATGTTAAAGAAAGCGAACTTGTAAATGTTATTGAAAAAAATGAAGATGGCTGGTGGTTAGTTAGGCGTGGTTCAGATGAGGGTTTCGTTCCTGGAAACTATCTAGAAGCGGTGCCAGCAAATTTTAAGCCGCCTCGTCCACCGAAACCGAAACCCAGAAACTAAACTAACAACAAAACTTGAATTTTTACCACTTATTTTGGTATTCTTGCTGTAATTCATGCTACCGATCTCATTTACACTAACTAGGAATATTCTTCATATCTATTGTTCATTGTTCACCAAAATTAAACCTAATATTCAATAATTACAGTTACTATTGAGAAATTTTACGAAATTTGGCGATAGCAATTTGATTGACTTCAAATTCTATTAGAATGTACTAAATATTTATGTTACCGTAGTTACTGTATTTATTTACTATTATCCGAACAGGATTTTTTCTGAGGAAAATCAGTTTATTGATTTCATACAGGCAAACCAATGATATTGGATCTTGTTTACTACAATAGGTTTAGTTAACTTATATAATAATCAACATACGTATATAGTGGGTATATGAAACTATTAGATACACATATACACATATATGTAAATTTTGAAACATGTAGAAATTGCAAGTTTACACATTACTCTAATTCATTTTGAAATATATTTCTAATTATATAGTAATTAATATTATTAGAGGAACGGATTTTGCACTGCTTACATTTGATTGTAATAAACGAGATGTTAATTTAATTTATTATGAATGAGTTTAGTTCCAGCCACTTACTTTGAGAAATGTAGAAAAAGCATAACTTTGCTGAATGCGAATACAATATACGTTCGTATTAGGGCACACTTAAAATCATTATTAACCGAAATAGTCAATTACACTTATACGATTGCCATATTGCCCCAGCTTTCACCCACTTTGATAGAAACTTTCATCGGCACCTATTATGAAGCATTTTTATTTTAAATCCATTAATTGTAATTATCACTGAAATTAGGAAGCAACTGACCGTTAATCTGATTTCATTGCCGATATTAGGGGATTCCATGACGTTATATAAAACTTCTAAACGAGGGCAAGTTGCAAATATATTAATACGGCTAGCATAATTATTTTAATTATTAATGAGCAATAGCTAGCAGCTATTCATTTTAAAAATTATGATACTTGTAAATCCTGGAATTTCTTGGTTTTCAACCTCAAATAACAATTCATCATGATTTTGTATTAAAAGCCTACCAAAAAGTTTTGCAAACAGTAATGATCTGTAATAATTTGAGAAGAATATTTCCTAATTCTAATAGTATGTCTGTTGATAAGGTACATAATTTTGATATAAAAGCTAAAATCTCTGCGTAACTAACCTAACCGATTTAAACGCTTCGTCGGTAAGGATGGCAAATAATTCAATCAATCTCAGTTTGTAAAGATCCGCTGCTGATCCTAAATGAATGAAGCTAAAAAAATTTATACTACCCAACACCCATTCATGTATAGCTAGCTACTGCTTATGTTAAATTCTTAAAATGAAATATTTGTAATTTGATTTACTGAATCTGATAATAGCTAGAATACCCTGTATGATAAAACTAAAAGCTTGGCGTTCAGCACTTATCCGATTAAAATTATTTGATATACGCGTATTAAATTGTGTTGATTGCAAATAATGTCTTCTGCCCAGTATTGTTTTCGAGAAACCTGGTCGCACAAAATGATGATACTCGTACGTCATCGTCATTAACGTTCAACCAATAATAATTAAAAAATAATGGCGCTTTAATTACCACTGAAGATCTCTTACTAACCTTGCTCATGACAACGCCTTATCAAATTCTGTTTATATTTTGCCACAGCTGGAAATTTTACTATAAAATAGTCACCAATATGTATTACTATTGCAATTATAAGAGAAAACAAAAATCTCTTGCTTGCCTTCAAAGATTTGGATATAAGTCTGAGCCTCCTGAAACGATATATTGGACTGTCTCGCTAGAGATTTTGCACCTAAGTAGTAATTAATTCACCAAACTATAAGTACGTAGCTACGAATTTGCATCTATTTAGCAATTACTCTTCATAATGATACGCTGATAATTATAATTATTTGCGTTCTCTTGATATAAAATTATGGATGGAGCTCTGCGGTGAAGATGTTACAACAATCATAAACTGTACAGATAGAACATGCTGCCGTAAAATAATAAATGAACTAGGTAAGCAAAATTTCTAGCTATAATGTGAGCAAACACTCTTAAGCTCATTACCTATACCATACAATATTGAATAGCATATTTCCTTAGCTTGATCGAATTCTGCTTGACTGATGTCATCAATATTTTTGTTAAACCTGTAAAATTAAAGTGAGTCAATGAATTAGTTTTAAAAGTCATAATACCTATTATATAGTATTTTATCATTATAAGTAAGGATTTGTTTATTTCCGACTATAATCTAATCCATATATTAGCTAGAAATGATATTATCTCTTAAGAATTTTTACCAGAATGTGGCCAGCCAAGTGTAGATATTTATCGTAGGATGTTCATTAAAAATTTGGAGTAACATGGAATCATTAGAAAAATGCGCTAGAAGACGAAGCTCAATTGCTTGAAAATCTGAAGGGAATGAATAGTATTACTCATTAATTAACAGTATGATTAGCCGATTACCCATCAATGACCATCACCATATGATAATAACATACCGACGCTTACTAAACTATAGTTCTTTTTGGTAATAATCATATCCCTTGGACTGTAACTACCTTTATAAGTTTCATTTTCATTTTCACCTTAAATCAATATTAGTAATTAGTTTTGAATTTGGCAGTAACATCAATCTTCTCCTACCGAAAATTTTAGTATCTTCTATCCCTCCAAAGTCAATCATTGCTTTAGGTATTGCCTGCATATTCTACGTGTGAAGAGCAAATAAGATTTGCAATCAGCTGTGACGAGGTGCTTGCTAGCAAAGTTCTCAACAATTTATAATTCCCGTCTTGTCTTATGAAATGTCTAATGCTGTCCAATGACTCTTCTTGATAGTATTAATAGTTACAATGACAACAGACAACTAATTTTCATTAGATTCTACTACCGGTTTAGCGCAATTGATTCTTCCACAAAATGACGGTGTTTGTAGCCTAATTTAATTAGTGGGATTTTAAGAAGTCAGTACTGCATGATAGACTATTCTTTTATTATCAATTTATTTAAGTACGAAATTAGCTAATACGGCAAAATTGGTTGTAATAATTTGAATTCACCATTGAGGTTGTAAATGATCCTATTGAAAAATGCTTCATCTTATATTTTTCTTCAGTATCTGCGAAAATGTGGTAATCATGAAATATCAAACGTATTTCAAACTAACCTTTTTCATTAACCTTAAAATTCCATCAATGGAGGTGGATTTTATTTTATTCAGCTAGTTTATAATATGAATATGTATGCTAGTTAGATCAATCATATAAGAGATATACGGTATCGATGATAAGTCACACTTGGTGGTTATTACCAGTCTATATCTTCGAATGATGGTGGGTAATGGGTGGGTATGTTCAAGAATGCGTAACTATAAAAGATACCTCTATTAAAGTAGCCTGGCATATTTTAAAATACCTTACGTAATTTAGTCAATCTTATATTTAACATATTAGATTTCGATAAAAGTGATAACAATGGCGCTATAAAACTGTGCTAGCATCATTCGTTTGACTATCAAGTTATGGTAATGGTTCGGTTATGCTAATAATGTAATCTACAGCATAACTCACAACTTCGTCGGAAGTCGATAGACTTTGCTTTTTCTTGGTCTTTAGAACAAGATTTAATTTCAAGACTTGATCAAGTTTCAGTTTTTCGAATAAGATCTATGAAATGGTTTTATTAACATTAGTATGAACTTTATTGCAAAATAAATTGTTATTGTTTTAATATAGTACAAATAGTTAAACCAACCGTTTCGATCTGTTTTGGACTTTGTAACGAAAAGGAATAGCCTGATATCTGTAAAATGCTTTGTCTTAGTCTCTTAATGAATATTATACAGTAGACCTATAAGATGCAGCAGTTACGTTGGGCATGCAAATAATAAAATATAAATTTCTGGTTGCGAATTCATTTACTTGATGCGCCTTTTTTTCTAATGCTTCTAATTTAGCCTAAAGTTATTAATTCGGGAACAATAATGAAAAAAATATCACAGAGGATAGTAGAAATGAGTACGCAAGATACCTTTATTCAATTGTATTTCATAATATCATCGTAACAATATACCTCAAAAATTGGCTGATAATCTCTGAGTAATTCAGTATCTATTCTGATAGGCGTAATATCAAGAACTAACGATATGCAGTAAAATTTATCACGGCAGTTAGTCAACCTTCAGCCTCATTAGTATGTTATATACTGACAGTCATTACAGTATAGTGCGTATTAATATCGTAATAATCATTTTTGCTTTACAAAAGTGAAATATTAAAGTTATGCGATCCTTACTTGCCAAAATAGTACTAATTTTCATCTCCACATTATAAAATAAATTCTCTAAATCACTTGACTTGTTAAAAGAATTTGAAGTTTAAAGGTTTTAAATTGCAACAAGGTTTATAGGTTACTGATACAGAAACAAATATTATATAAGTAGATTGAAAAATATCAGTAATATGAGACGAATTATTGCTCGTTTAAATACTTTCAAAGCATGACAAAGTTGGAACATTAAGCGACGAATATTAGACAAATCAGTTGTAACTGAATCGTGCCAATTATTTCTGTCCTAATTGAAACAGCAAATTTATCAAGGATATCAGGTTGGTGTCATGTTGTTCTCGTTCTTTTAAATCAGGTCAAATACATAAAGCTATTAAGAATTGGCCTCATACGATTTTGTGAACAGGTAGTCCGTAAGAATTCATAAGCTCTTCATAATCTAATTTTCTATTATCTGAGTCTAATAACCAAACTGCAATCTTTGGATCTATGATCTTCCAATCCAAGGTAACTTAAGATTTACCAAAAAATACAGGATATCCACTGTGAGCTACTTACTACACCTAAAATGTTATCTAAGCCTTAATCTGACCTGCTGTTTGTATTTCTTTCATATAAAAACGAATCATATGATATAAGCAAGATTGCCAGTCATAGCAAATTTTGACAGTACTTGCGTTAAGCATAAAGTATACTAGTTCCCTGAGGTAGTAAGTGATAATTATAACAAAATGACCATAGAGTAATTAATCATTACACATTCAATGTTATATACGTACTTGCAAGTTTTCACAGTTTCTTGTTGACATTCGAAAGGAATAAGATAATGCTGTGGACGTATGGCGTCATTAATTGATGCAGAAATGGAAATCATTAACCCTTGTGGCTATAAAAGTAACGTAGTAGCATGTGATATTAGTTATTGATACGGAAATTGGAAACATTATAATGATTAATCCGTGTTGCTGCAAGCATCCATTTTACGATATAAATCGTTACTAATTAACCTAGATAAGACAATTATCTTGCTATCGGTTATGTACGATTCTTAAGTAACGTCTGCAACTTGATAACATGAGTTGTGAATGCTCAAAGAATTAATAGAAGATGATCTCTTAGAGCTCATATTGAAAATAATTTGTTTGGACTTGAGCATGTAGCAAAGTATGCTACAATATAACACCCTAACTAACGTTACGAACCTTCAAAGCATAGAACGGTGAGGTTATAAATTCCTTCATTTTCAAAGATGATAAATAGTCAATTAGAAATAAATATACATGGTTTAATCCGAAATTTCACAAGGTAATGGAGCCTTGCAATCAATAATACCTTATCCTGACTTCGATAATGTGGTTTTTTGTTGCTAAAATATATACAAAATGTTACATCTTCCGCATTCTGTATTAGCTGTTTAATAGCCATTATTTCGGTATTGGACATGTACGAAATATCGAATATTTCTGATTGTATGTAACCATTATTCGTTTGATCAGGTATTTTTACTTGATAATCTGCTAGAGTATTATTTACGCTTTGGATTGCATTATTGCTCTATAAATAGGTCATAATTCGAGATTATAAATGTAGTACGATGCTTCATTTCAGATATGCAAAATAATATACTGTCAACTACTATTGAGTTCATCAATTCCGATACTATACAGTCGGATGACTTTATCCTAGAGTAGCGCAATTGGTTTATTCATAATTTATTCTTTGTAACTAACGTTACATGTTAGGCGAATCTATTGATTTAATGCTAATATAAGTTCAAGTTGCTACTGCATTGCAAACCTTGATATTGTGATCCAATGAATTTTCTAATTCTTCAAAGTTACTAGTGCGAGTCTCCGTGCTATCTTCTTGAGCTTTGTTATATTCTATCATAATGATATCAATGAAGTTAAAATCTATTTTGTATCATTAGTGATGTTGTGATTAGTTTTTAAGCTAAACTGTCATGAGATGGCTTGATATATGTACTCCTTAACCCTTTTAGTTTATATAACACTTTTATGTTTGATATAGCCTTAGAAGTATCTTGTCTTGTACAGTATTGTCTTAAAAACGTAGGGAAATATTAACCTATGGTAAGCTTTAATAAGGCACTTGTAAATCTTTGTAATAACACGACTACTAAGTACTTACGTTGTTTTGCTATTTGCTTTGGCATTGTGTGTAGTTCACTACCTGTAGTAGGGTTTTTTTCAATGAATTTTTCTGGACAAGAATGACCAAACCCTTCGTTATGTGTGATCTTTCTTGAGTTATCTGGGACACTCCTTTGATTTTGGTGAGCTGTTAATCATTCATTGAAATTCAACGGGTTACTGAATATTAACGTGTTATTTCACTTTCGGTAAGAAGGAGAAAATTTAATTCTACTCGTCGTGATCACATTTGATCATCAAATTTTCCAAATAATTATGCGATAGCAAGCATATACTGATTTTCGTATGTGTTAAGTGCTCAGTTTAGCCAGCGATATCAACATTTATACTTCACCCCTAGCAGACATATCTTGTCGATGTTGATCACCGTTGGAATTTCCTGTACTATATTGCCAATTAGAGCTCAAGTTTCTTACTGGTAACCAGAAGGTATAATCTATCAAGTGGAGATAGATGCAATATGTTAATTATTCCAATTTCAGTCCAACTAGCTTGCCCTTCTTAGCATAGAAATCCGATGCCATGATTGAATAAAGTGATATAGGTCATCGAAATAGATATAGTGATGATTTCAGTGTCTCTACACCAATATTCACTGGTGGCTGTGTCAAGCATTACCGGTATGCTTACAGAGAGAAAATTGATTTCCATTGAATCAGTCACTGAAAATACTGTGCTTACCTTCAATACCACCGTGAGATACCGGGATTGTAGGGTAATTTTGACTAAGTCGCTGTAAAATGTGAGAAAGTTGTTCATTGCTCAACGCCATTTTCTAGCAAGGCACCAAATTACTAAGCAAGCAGTGGCTAGAACGATATCAATTCTGCCGAGTTTTCACACAAAATGACGGCTCCCAAATTGACGTTGACTTTTATCTACAGTATGACATACAGAGCAGAAAGGGTGTCACAGCTGAGGACATTGACGCAGTCAGTGTCACTTTACAAAATGTTGAAAAATGAGCTCGAAAATACTGAGTTCAATATGGAAATTTGAAGAGAGCTCAGTGATGATGATAATCGACATGACCTGTAATTGTGTACGTGTCACGATTATTGACGCTTCGTAGCTGACGCATTTCTGTCCTTTTTCCAACGTCGGACCTAATGCCATCTTGTGACTTGATAATGTAGTATTGAAATTTGAATAGAGCTCAGTGATGATGATGATAATCAACACGACCTGTAATTGTGTAAATGTCACGATTATTGACGCTCCGTAACTGATGCATTTAGTCCTTTTCCAACGTAGGACCTAGGTAGGCCATCTTGCGACTTGATAGTGTAGTATGGAAATTTGAATAGAGCTCAGTGATGATGATGATAATCAACATGACCTGTAATTGTGTACATGTCACGCTTATTGACGCTCCGTAACTGATGCATTTAGTCCTTTTCCAACGTAGGACCTAGGTAGGCCATCTTGCGACTTGATAGTGTAGTATGGAAATTTGAATAGAGCTCAGTGATGATGATGATAATCAACATGACCTGTAATTGTGTACGTGTCACGATTATTGACGCTTCGTAGCTGACGCATTTCTGTCCTTTTCTAACGTAGGACCTAATGCCATCTTGTGACTTGATAATGTAGTATGGAAATTTGAATAAAGCTCAGTGATGATGATGATAATCAACATGACCTGTAATTGTGTACGTGTCACGATTATTGACGCTTTATAGCTGACGCAAGTATTTTAGTCCTTTTCCAACGTAGGACCTAATGCCATCTTGTGACTTGATAATATAGTATTGAAATTTGAAGAGAGCTCAGTGATCATGATGATCATCAACACGACCTGTAATTGTGTACGTGTCACGATTATTGACGCTTCGTAGCTGATGCATTTTAGTCCTTTTCCAACGTAGGACCTACCTAGGTAGGCCATCTTGCGACTTGATAATGTAGTATTGAAATTTGAAGAGAGCTCAGTGATCATGATGATCATTAACACCAACTATAATTGCATGCGTGTCTCGATTATTGACGCTCCGTAGCTGATGTGTTTCCGCCCTTTTCCAATGTAGGACCTAACGGTCATTCTGTGACTTGATACCGTAGTGTGGAAATTTGAAAAGAGCTCAGTGATGATGATGACAATCAACACGACCTGTAATGGTGTACGTGTCACGACTGTTGACGCTACGTAGCTGACGCATTTCAGTCCTTTTCCAACGTAGCACCTAATGGTCTTCCTCTTACTTGATAACGTAGGAATGGCCATTTAAAAAGCCTCAACGAGATCAGTTTTATTGGAGATACTGTACTAATATTGTGGCACATTTCCTTCTTTTTTACTAAATAGCTTGGATTTCTTTGTAATTTCCCTTTTATCGACATTGCCGTGACGTATATGTAAATTGTAGACAAAAATATAGAATCTAGGCATATTTTTTATCTATATTTCATGAGTCAGTATCGTAATAGCCTTTAAATGATAAGAAGAATACTGCTTTCATCTTGCCAACTTGTCAATAAACCCTATACAGGAATACTGTGCAATTAGATGGTGCAAAATCGGTGTATAGAACCTATCCGTGTTGAATTAATTGATGTCATACTTCTTCCTAACGTTTTCCAAAGATAGAAATCATACTACTAATGATAATGGCCTATTTACTCTTCAAAAAATATCCTGAGCAATGTTCAACAGTGGTTATAATTTTTCCTCATCCCTATCAGAGGCAGACGTCATACTATCTGTGATAATGTTCGACTAGTTATTCTAAAGGCGCCAATGAGATCAGTTTATCTTTGATATTTACCAATTGCAATGTTCTATGTCGTTCGGCTTATTAATCACTAGCCACGGATGGCATTGTTATATAAAGGAAGCAGATTTGAATATTGCTAACTTATAGAATGTATACTTGGTTTAACTGAGCTTACTGATGCTCTCTTTGAATAATCAATTCCATGTTATTATTGGCGGTATGACCCATAGGCGTACGTTAGATTGAAATAGAACGGCTACTGAGTGACTGTTATGCTGAAAGTAGCTACTAAAGACCATGCTATTGCAAGCTAATGTTCGATTCGTTAATTATTGTTATATAAATGAACTTGTAATCTGCATGTACTTCCTTGCCGGAAATTATCTTGAAAACTACCTCTATTAAGTAATAATGATGAGATGCATATCCGTGAATATAATCTCTGTGCACTTGATCGATCTCATCCGTAAATATAAGTACACTCACATACAACGTTAATAAAAGAATCGTCAATAGAATCAGTCATCTTGATATCAATGCTGCAGCGCATTTCATACTATACTTTATCAGCTTGTATTTCCTTTAAATTGTATATTTATACTTCATTTAGAAACCTAATTGCTTGCTACCAATGATCTTGTTAAAAGTACAAAACGGACTTTGTACTATTAATTTATTGATGTATACGCGTATTATGTCAAAATAAAGTAAAGGATTAACAAGCTAGCAACTGTCGATATGTCGGGACGGTCACATTCTTTATTAGCGCGACTACGATAGTGTTGCATTGTTTACTTAATTAAAAGATTTTAACGGATCAGCTATTTTTGATATCGACATCATGCCACATTTTTAATTATACTCTGCTAGCTAATTATATGATAGTTAGCATAGTAGTTGCTGGTCATGCATGATATGAATAGAAATAAAAAATAGCTAATTTACCAACAGAACGTATGAATAGACAGTAGCTGATGCATTTCTTTTTCATTAGTATTTATTTTTACAAATTTCTGCTGATTAACCAGATTAATACTAATAATTGAATCTGTTTATATTATTTTAACTTATACAGAGATACGTTCTAATGCTCGCAAACTTTTCTCTAGATTACTTGCAGTACCATTACATAAAAAAATTAATTCTATCATCCTATAAACTAGATGCTTCGGAACTACAGTATAAATGCAGCAAATTTACTACGTCACAGTTTCGCTGATTTATTCAATCTATTTATGATTTCATTTCTCCTTTTTTATTACAGTAGAAACACTGGACGCAATTCTCACGTACGAAAATGCAGTAGACACAGTTTTAAAATATCGAAAAAACACATAATTTTCGTAACAAATATTACAACAAGAGCTACAACTAGATATTCAATGCTTTCTAATACAACGAGTAAAGCATTTCTCAATAGAGTTAATAGAATAACAGAGATTACTTTTGCGTCAAAATTGAATAATGTTTACAAGATATTAAGATCATGGGCGGTACTCATTACCGTTTGTACGCTAGAGGTGTGATGTTAGCCTTATTAAGGTAGATAATGATTTATGTGTCACGAAGATACTCTGTACACAATTGTATATAAGCAGGAGATTTTATCTCCGAAGACAGAGTAGCCATAGATAATCTAGTCCTTGGTAGAAGACGTAATTATTGTAATAAAGTGATTTTCCTTCAAGTTGTGGAAGTCGTTGCGTTTCGATAGACACATTATTACACCGTTATACGGCAATAACGAAAGACAGTCCCATTTTGATTGATTGCAAAATTTATTAAAGGCACTATTACTTTTTCATAAATGATTCTAAAAAGTATAGCTAAAAAATTGATACTGTTGCATGTTTTTTTGAAAGACAATCCGTCATATTTGGTATCGTTAATTTTGCACAGCCTATGCTATCGAGAATTGCTTTTCTTCCTCTTTTAAAATCCAAAGGCGATTTCTTTTGTTATTTAGAAATAGGTTATGGTATTGTATCATTGCCTCATTTAATTTTATTTCAATAGAGTTTCTTACGATATGCTATGATAAATTTATTTAGAGCAATTAATTCCAAATATTTATCAATCCCGAATTGTTTTATTTTTCGATAGTTAGTTAATAGCTATTATTTATTAGCATTCACTATCGAGTGCATTCGATACGAGTATTACAACATTGAAAATATCTGCCATAGGTAAAAAGAGTGGTAGTTACCTACTTTGTTTTCCTTTCGAGTGGTCACTGTATCTACTTTAATTTTGTATCCTATACGTATTTAAGACATAAGCTTGTATTTCATGTTATATCCAGACCCATTTGATGCAACTCATCAATGACTCACAGAGCAACATTAGAAATGGCTTAAATAGATATTACTTTACATTCTTGGAAATAATCCTTTTACGATATCAACAAAGCCTTCCCTTTAGTTCAATTTTTTTCTTTAGTTTAACGTAATTATAGCATTGATCGTCTATCAAGGAGGTAATCTATTTCCATAGATACAAAATATAATTTCAGAAACAACAAACATATTAACGCACAAGTCTAATCATTGCAATGTTTATGAAAATTTGTAATCTTAATGTAGCTTTTATCGTGCGTAGTATATCTCTTACAGATTATATGATATTCAGCTGAATAGAGTAAGCATGTCTGTTGTAAACTAGAGAATCTTGCTAAGTATTACCTAGCAATCCTTCTCCTACAGTGCAATTGACTTATCTGTATGGTGTTCCCGAAATCATTAGGGTCTATTGGATTCAAAATAAAAAATATCATACTGTATTTTACTGTTAGCAAATTCACGTAAACAAGTTTTCCGATATGTTGAGCTTATTATATAGTTTACCGTACTCTATGCATATGTGCAATACGAATTATAAGAATATATTGAATACAAATAAAACGATCCTAGTCTAAAATTCACTGTCAGAAAAATTCATATAAAGAAGTATTGCGACATGATGGACATGTTAAAGCGCACTGTGCACCCATATGGTATTCCCAAAAGTGTATATTGGATTACAACAAAATTATCATACTATACTTTACTATCAATAAATTCAAGCAAAGAAGTTTTACAACATATTGAGTTTATTATAGCGTATGCAAGTGTATCATATGAATTATAAGAATATATATTGGAATCAAACAAAATGATCCTAGTCTAAATTTCACTAATAGGAAATCCATACAAAGAAATCTTGCGACATGTTGGGCTAGTTAGAATATAGCGAATTCTGATGCAACTGCATAGTACTCAGCTGCTGTTCCATAAGCATCATACGAACATATTCGATTACAAATAAAATGATGATCATACGGTATTTCACTAGCTATCAGCAACTTGATTAAAAGAAATTTTTGCGACATGTTGGAAATGTTATTATAACCATAAACGTAGAGGTTAAAAAACTTTCTTCTATCTATACATATACACAAACATGCAACAAGGAACAAATATACAGTACTAAAAAAGAAAACCGAAAATGCTTTTATCGTCTATCTGGTAAGTTAAGTATAATGTAGTTTCCATGGACCAATACACTAGTGTACGACTGTTTAGTGTGCAATGCCGTACTCTACCCATAGAGATCTGTATGGACTGAACGAGACAGTACTGAACCTGAAAACATCTCACTACATCTATGGGACTAAGCAGCAGACGGTAAAATGGCGTCATCACCATGGCAACAGTCTCGACAATGTTGATAAATACAAGGTTTTCGTTGTATTGACTACACATACAAGATTCTCCTTGTATTGACTACAGCTCAAATACAATTATTTTACTAGTTATCTATCCATATTACCGATCCAGAGTTCTTCAATTTGAGGAGATTATTGGTGGACTCGACCAGAATAGAAAAATTCCTTCGATGCCGTTGTAAAATGAAAAAGACAAGATGTATTTGCCAAATATGCACCTGTGGGTAAGTAATGTTTTCAGTTTTATTCGAAGACGGCTCGTAAAAATTTCTTACATGGAATATAATTTAATAAAGAGATAAAATAGATTTAGGGCCCCACTTTTTCATGCTATGGATATCGCATGAGACAATTAATTAATTATAATTTTTATAGTAATGAAAGATAAAAGATAAATCATTTTCATCAAGGTTTAGCATAACAACCTAAAACTCTTGCAGTAATGCTTTCTCTAGCTGTTTAAATTTTTCTCCATGACATATGATACTATAAATGCATAGAAATTAGTATTGGTTCGATGATAATTCGAGTTGGTATTAAAATTATGATAGTAATTATAAAACTTCGTCAGCATTTTTGGTGATCATACAAGTAACCTAATAGCCACGAAATCTTTAAATATTACTTTAACTGAACATGAATATTAAACCCTTTCTGGGCAATGTCATATCTTACTGTAAATTTAAGATGCGTTAATTCATCATAATTAAAAGGATCTAGTTAAGAGTAGGACATTCCAGTTTTCTTTCTTTGAAATTTTATTTAAATTTGTATTAATAGTGAATACCTGTATCATCTATAAAACTATCAGGCGCCATCGATGCCCTCATAAACCAATAACTGCCAAGAAAACACCGTTAAAAGATTGTTTAATAACAGAATATCAAACGTCGTACAAACAAAACGAAGGATTTCAACCACCTCAACCAGTTAAACCGATGGAAATGTCTCGACCTCAGACATCGCCTATGGACTTAACCACCACTAACAGAGTTGATTATAAAGTATATAATGTTCAATTGCCTCCCAAAAAAAATCAAGTAACATTTGAAACTCCGCAAGGACCACTATATTTAGAATCAACTTATAGAAATGTTTATACAGCAAAATCTATAACAAAAGAAAAGAGCTATAAAACTCGATCGGAGTATATTGTCCCGGCAGCCAAATTTAATGGTAGTACTGTTAATCGAGATAGCTTCAAAACGTGGAGTGTTGCTCCTAGGAAAGCTATTAAACCAGATTATGATAAAACATGTGCCTTAATAGTATTCGACAATGATGATGGCAGATCAGATGGTAAATCTACCGCACAAGTTGATTTTCCAAAGTATGCCGTCGCAAGACCTGTTATTGTTAAACCTGTAATATCAAGCTATCAGTCAGGGGGTGAGTTCGATTCAAATACGATACACAGACTTTGTTATACCGCTAAACAGGTCCCGATATTTCGACACAAAGTAGCAGAAAAGTATAAACCCCATGCGGGTGAAATGGAGTCTTTGACAACTCATAAGCAAGACTTTATTCAACATCGTTGTTCGCCGGTTACAACATGTAAGCCACCCGAAAAATCTCATATATCAGATGAGAAGTCGCATTACACTACAACTAATCGAGAAACGTTTAAAGCTTGGGATGTGCGCAGGCCAATGTATATGGATCAAATGGAGCAATATAAGATACCAGATAAGCCAATGGAATTTAATACTGTTTCACGATCGACCTATGTTCATCACGAGAACTTTGAGAAAAGATCAGCTAATAAGCCCCAACCAGTCGCTGTCAGTAATGATAATCGACAACCATTCCAAGGTTTGACAACCAGTAGATCGGCTTATCAACCTTGGGAAACTTCACGATCTCAACCGAATCGTGAACAACGTATTTATGCTCCACCTCAGGATAAATTCAATGGTGAATCAACTCATCGTGCGTGCTTTCAGGGACAATTTGTACCTCCAGCAGCAAGTAGTAAACCTAAGGAAACTTATGTTAAAGCTGAAGGAGATATGTACTTGATGAGCAGTTACCGCGATAATTATAAAAATAATGAAATACCTTATTGTCCGGCTGTACCACTTCTTTCAAATAGACTACCTAGTAATCAGCCTAATTTTAAGTACTCGCATAAAAATCAAGGTGGACATAAATTTTACAGGATGACCATAGAAAATAAGGATACAACGATGACAGTTGATATTCCTAACCAGCCTTCCACTATTACAGTCTCGGTACCTAGCTAATTGCACTGTAATAATTAGCTGATGCTAGTGGTGGCCATTATTAATAATTATAACAATATAATATTTAATTTAACTTATTATTACGATCAAAATTCGCGTAGACAAATTGATTAGCATTTTGTTTATTCTAGTAATTTTTCTTCAGATAACATTTCATAGACAAAATCTATGTTAAATATTTATATCTGACTCTTATTCGATGTTTAATATCTTTTACTGTCAAACGATTACAGTAGTTGAGTTTTAATGCTCTTCATTATTAATACTTGGATATTTAATTCTTATGAACTTCATGCTAAATTTACAAAACTGAGACTATTCGATTTATTTGCATTTCTTTATTTTGATTGGAATTAGAAAATATTCAGGAATAATCTTAAGCCTAACTGCTATCTTAGTTCCAACTTTGACGAGCATTCGATCATCATGTAGAAATTTCGCATATAAGTAAGATTAATAACTGATGTGATCATTTGCATATTTAAATATTGCAAGATTTCCTTGAAAGCTACAGTTTTGAAGTAATACATAACTGACAACGTATAATTAGAACAACTTGTTAAATTGGTATTCCAAACACGAATAAACTTTTGGATTGCATTTAAAGTATTTATCATTTGCAATTATCATCGAATAGAGATTGTCCAATGGATTATAAGTTATTCCAGGAAATCGATCTCTATCATAGTTAATAGTTATATGCAGTTTACTGATAGAGGATCCTCGATTGTGATAAAATTTTGAGTGCTTGTAGTTGCATCGATTGCTATATTTAAAAGAGCAGCAAACGAGCTAATGTAATCATCTACCATCGATAGTAGATATAGCTGGAAACACTGACATGATTAAATTTTATTTAATCATTTCCTTTAGCTCTTTTTAGATCATATTCTCGACATCTGTACAAAATATGCTACAACTAATCTATTACGTTATGTTAATAACACAAGTTTTTTGGTATCATTTTCAACAATGAGACTTATTCCACCAATGAGAATCCAAAGATGCTGGTACCTTGAGTTTTAATATATCTTAGCAAACTCTGGACTAGTTATCAGCGAAATGATCAATAATATATATCTACAGTAATATTTCAATAGTGGAAGATACGTATATCTAAGGATTGAGCAATTTTGCACTCTGTACCTTGGTCAAGATTTAATATTTGTAAGTAACAAACATGCCCGATGAATTAGCGAGTAGAGTAGATCATGTAAGACGCCTACGAGGATATATCGTACCTTTTAGACCTATAGTTGTAAGCTATTAAGATATTAAAACGATGCCGGTAAAAATTTAGTGGTAAAAAATTTTTCAAACAATATTTAACGAGAAGGAAAGTATTTATTCAGTTATTATTTATAACATCAATTTTTGCATATACAAATAAACAGATATCTAACTTATAGATCGTTTCATTACCAAGAAAATAAGTGAATACACTTCTCAAATGCTCAATAGAACCAATTAAAAAATTGGGGTATGTGAAACATACGAAACGTTAGTAATCCCATTTCATAGCTGATATACAATACAAATGGGAAATTATCCATGCAAATAAAAGAGGTACGTACATACAATATTTTAACTGGGGTAACGTGTTCAGCTTAAGTAAGCACATGACAGTCTATTTCTGAGGAGTAGAATCGAAAAAGAATGGCTTTCAATTATTATAATATGATATTTCGTAATTATTCGAGAGTTCGCTTTCCTTAACTTTAGAGCAATATTTTTTAACAACTGCATTAACTGCGGTGTTATTACGTCAATATCTCTAACGGATCTGACCTTTTGCCCTTCATTTTTACATTTATCTTCTACTAGAACGAGCTGAGGCTGTAGGTGGTGGGGGTGGGCCCATTTTATGTAATTGATCGATATAGTCCAATAGCATTTCCTCTCTACGCTCCTTGACGCAGTCCAAAATTAAGTATCTTTTATCATTCTAATGTTAAATACAAAAAATTGAAAATTCATTTTTTAATACTAGCTTTTAGAGAATACGAGTATGTTTATAAAGATGGGCAACCGTGTACACATTTTACCTTTAATATCTGATGGATTTCCCTCCAATGTGTATCAGTCGATTCAATCAATTCTTTTGACCTAATTAAAATATTTCGGATGAGTTTTTTAAATTGGATTAAGTGAAATATCGTGGTGTAATTGAACATAAATCATTATAAATGTACATTGTACTTACTTATGGGTGATACATTTAATCTCTTTTAGTAATTCAGTAAAATCTAGCTTGGCTTGGTCTAGTCTATCTCGCTGATACTTGTCGAATACTGCTTCTCGTTTCTACGCGCAATTCAGATAGGATTAATCGAACATAATCGTAAAATGAAATTAGTTTCGTATACTCTCACCGAATCACTTGAGCTAAATTTACTGTAACGTGGGTCATCACGAAGCCCTTTCTTAACGGTCTTCCATCGAGCCAACAGAGATGTCTTAATATTTAATTAAATATGACATTAGCTGCATTGCTGAATATTTTCATAAAAGGCTACACAAAATTGAAATAAACACTGGAACTCATACATCAGCCTCGTTCAACATTGCCAGAAAATGTTTCTCTTTCTTAGCATATAATTTATCGACATGCTTCTTAAATATAATTTCCCTTTCGGAACTTTCTAGTATAGAACAATTTTCATATCGTCGATCTTTACGTAGGATATGACGAGCTTCCTTCCAATCAAGATCTGGATCTCTAATCTATTATTATTCCGAATATAAATATAATATTTTCCAGTCGCTTACGTATATTACAAGCAACTAAGATGAGATCTGTCATAATATTGCTAAATTGTACCAAATCCGTCAGCAAAGCCGAAAATTGATCTTTTGCTTCGTCTCTTCTATGATGAACTCTTTCTCGATCCAACTCTCTTGCATGCTCGTTTAGTGCCTGTCTCACCTGCTCTTCGCGCGCTCGAATACTAGCTTCTACACGCCTTTTACGATCTAAATCTTCGTCATTATCCTAACGAAATGTACTTAAATTCAGTTACCTGTAGTTGCGTTTCAGTCAAGTTCATATTTGTGCTAACCTTAGATTTTATTATTTCCTGTATATACTGATTAAACAGTTCTTGTCGTTCACGCGAGCCACCCACTCCTTTGTATCTATCATCTCTATCAAACCGATACTTGATTTTATCCCACTTTGAATTTTCATGAATAGACTTGACTTCTTGCAACATAGCGAAAAAATTTTCTTTCATCTGCCAAATAAAACAAATTTGTTTGAGACAATTCATTTCAATATTAGTATTCTTGCAGTCATTTAATAAAGGTTAAGTTAAATCAATCAAACACAAACCCTTTCCTGCTTTTGCTGAGATTTTTCCTTCTGATGCTTTCTAATTTCTAAAATGTGCTCATTAAAGAGACCCTCACGCTCCCGCATTTTTTCTATACCTTTAAACCGACTGTCCTTTGCGTATTTTGAGGCAAAATCACTAAAGTTTGACCTTCACGTACAGGTAAGCCACAACAGATCGAAAATTAGGGATTTAGTAGCGTGTAATGAAACGTTATACGATATTCGCTAAAATATTACAAGAAACGATTTCTACAGCTCAATCATTTATCTAGTTGAAATTTCCACTGCTTAATCTGAATTTTCAATTAAATGCTGTTACAGCGTATATTTAAATGTGAAACAGTCAGGATATTAACGCAAGCAGGCAGCTTTGCAGACCATAATGGGTAATTTAATGTACACAAGGTATATTTGATACACTTTGGGTCCCAAGTCAGATTTTATAAATCTCTAGATACAGGGAATAAAATGAGCTACAAGGCCACTGAAGTTACTCTATGCTGTGATTCAGGCAAATTTTAAAAAATATAAAAGTAATATTTTACTTTTCTATCGAAAATTCTTACATGAACAATGAACTTGAAGCTGCAAGACTACAGCTCAGAGCACAATATTTAATGACTAGCTAATTGTAGGAAACAATCATTAAACGAAATTCAAATCTTCTAATTATACATGGAATACTTGCGCCAAACAATATCGAAATTGGAGTCTTAAAGGTATAATTTTAATTCAAAAGTTACATACTTGCTTGACAATTTTGCTTCCACTAATAACTGTTGAAAATTTTCTTTTTGTTTCCGAATCTTATCGCGTCTTTCTTTCCTTTCTTCATCAGCACGTACTCGAATAAAATCCTCAAACACCTGCTTACGATCTTTGTTAGGCAATAATAAATAACGAGGATCGAATACAATTTTGGGTTTTTCCTTATCCCAAGTAGAGAATGCAGATACCTAATAAATTAAGAGTCGAAATTTAAATTACCAAAATAAATGTCAGATCTGGAATCTTAATACTATAGTAATTATGTTGTAGATAATATTGATAACTACGGCTCTTCACAGTAAGATAATTGATACGTGTGCATAGTTTCTCCTTACACTGCGCTCACGGAGCATAGTCATAAACTGGTTCACCCGTTCTTCTTGTGACAATGACTCCCTCAATCGAGCTGCTTCTTGTTCTGCAGCTCTTCTCTTATCAAATTCAACCTCTTCGTCTATAGGTTTCTCCGCTATTTGATCATCGTTAGGATTTTCTTCAATATGTGCAGTATCAGCATCAACGGGTGCTTGACCATCGCTAACCGCACTCTCCTCCATGCTGCCGTCACTGTCATCAGACTCTTCACCAGATCTTTTACGGCATTAATAATATATTTGAAATTAGCTTTTATCATTTTAAGGCATGCAAATATATTATTAGCTGAAGCAATTACGTGCAGCTTGCTTACTTGAACTTTTTAGTCGGTTGTTCAATTTCTTTTTTTGTATTTCCTAATGCCATAGCCGCATTGAAAGAATTATTGTATTAGAACCAAATCGAGTTCATTGTCAAGTAATTATACTGCACATGTACACTGTAAGTATGGACTAGTAACGATATTTTATGTGATTACTTCAATCTGATGCTGCGCTAACAATTTTTAAATATTATCAAAAGTTATCAGCTATACCATCCCCATAAGGTCCAGCTTTCAATAATTCAGTAACATCGGTATTATCTCCTAAATCTTCTGGTATTTTCCAGGATGAGGTGCGCGACATTGGATTATAAAAGAAATGTTTGCTATCATTTGTCCATACCAAACACCAAGCACTATTTTTAATAGCTTTCCTAGCGATAGGTTTAGTCTTTCTGGCGTCTACATAGAACAACAACAACGAGGTACATTCAATACAAATTACCAGCAATAATTATTTAGAAACGAAGATGTTGTATTCGATAGATTGAGAGTAAGCGAAATTTAAGATCATTATACCTTTCGATTGCTCTGTAGTATGTATTTTATTGTCTGATTCTTCATTACCTGTAAAATGGAAATACTTTTATATAAGAACGTAACGCCTAGATAATTGTTATATACTAGTTGGATGTCATAGTAGCTAATTGTGCTAAGAGGATGTTTATCTTACTAAACAAAGTTGCACGTACAACTTACAAGGAATAGCACGATAAATTAATGATGATAAACTATGGTCATACTTGCTATCAACTTATTTGGTGGCCTTAACATGGGCATGTTGGCTAGTGCTGGTGGTGGCAGCATCATCGGGGGCAACATCATTGACGGGCCTTCTAAAGCTGCTGGTTTTTCCCACTTCGATTCCATCGTACGAATATTGTAGTAATAAACTCTTCCATCGGCATTTTTATGTTCACTCCATTCTGAGAATTTTGGCTGCGGCATAAATGGAGGTCTTAACATTGGAGGGTGAGGCAAGGTGGGGGCAGGTGGTTGAGCCACAGCATCTTTAGGCTTATCCCAGGATGATTCTTTAGTACGTGTGTTATAATAGTAAACTTTGCCATCAGAGTTCTTGTGTTCAAGCCATACATCGTTGTTACTATCAACCAACATCATACTTGCAGCGTGCTGTTGACGTGGTTGTTGCTGTTGCGGTTGTTCTGTTGGTGGCTTATTACTTCCACTAAGAACCTAGATTACGTTTGACAGATAAAGCACACGTTAATGTATCGCTACATCTATAAAGGTGTAATCTTTTATGAATGGAATGAGTAAGTGATTGAAACGGCCTTGGTGTTTATTAACTATTGTTATTAGTCTACATGCTACTTATAAGATAGCTTTTTGGAAACCAATCCTTACTATTACTGTGCAACGTTGAAATCAACGACATTTATAAGTAGGTTGGATTTTCAGCAATTGTTTGTGGAGCATAGAGTACTGAATACTACACGTACAATATAGTATGACAATTTTGGGGATTCGTAATAAGATACGAATATCACGTCCATCTATTCAACGTCTCTTCAATGCTTATACATTGGCTCATGTGAAGGCTGAATGCTTGCAGCATTCATCCTTACAGACATTGAATTACAGTTGTGCTGAATGTGTGCATATCATGAACGACAGAAGTCTTGGTACCTGTGGTGGGACACCAGGAGGAGCCATGGTTCCTAGGCCAGGAGCAGCTGGTGGTTGGCCTGGTGGAGCAACATTAGCCATCGGCATAGGTGGTGGCTGACCGATAGGATTTAGTGCCATGGTTACTGGACGTATTGGCTGTGGTGGTGGCGGTGGTAAATTTGCAGCATTACCCGGCGGAGCATTGGTAGAATCGCTAATTGGTGGTCGAAACATGATGTGTCTATTTGGCAATGACATTATTTTATTCATTAATGATCAAGAGTTCTCACCCCGGTCAGTAGTAATAGCAGTTGTAATCTATAGATCTAATTAAGATTATTAGACAGTGTAAACACAACAGACTGTCGGGTAATTAATAGATAAGCTGAAATGGATCCTTAAACTTTGAACTTTAACTGGTTTATTTATCAATACGATCAGGGATCTGGACAGCACTGGATTCATAATATTTTTTCTTTTATTTAGATGGAGTTTACACAGGTTGATTTTTAGATTATGGTGGATACAGAGAATGCAACGCTTAGAATAAAATGATTTATTTATCGGTTGTGAAGTTCTTCTTACCTGTGATAGTCGATGATGGGCCCACTGCAATGGGAAAAATGAAATGAAAGCTGGAGCTTTTTTTCTGTAACTATTGGCTCAGTGAGTGTGCAAGCAGCTTGTACGTCCACTCGTTGTCACTGTAATGGATTTGGTATAGCGAAGACGCTGACAATAATGCCTTATTAGAAATGAACAAAATAGAACTTTTAAGATTGTCATACAGGATCGATACAACAAGTCATTCTTTCATTGATTTTCCAGTTTTAACAAGGCAATTTATTCCTTACAAGGGAAAACTTTAGTTGTTTCTGGTAAGAGAATTGGAGGACAAGTTCTAGAGCTCAGCCATTTTGATTTTAAGCAGACCAGCTTAGCTACCAGCTGCAAATTGTTCCAGTACCTATCTCTACGTACAGTAGACTGTACTGTAGGTAGCTGTACAGTATGCACTCAGTACAGTACATATTGTACTGTACTGCGTAATGTACCGTACTGTACTGGCTTCTCAGAGTGGTCTGTGACTGGACAGACGGGCTCTGGACAGTATGGACTGCGCATAGAAGAGGTACAGTACTGTTCAGTGTTCACTACTGTTCTATATGTAGAGTTGAGTACACATCCCGCAACTTCTCTACCGAAAAATGAGAATTGGAGTATCTTATTACTTAGGTTGTATTAGCTTAAGTTGCTCAGGATTAAAATTGAATAATAATCAATTACTACTGCTTAGCCTAAGTTCCTCTAGGACTCTAAGCTCACAGCTAAGCTGAGTTCTTCAGTATACTGTACCATATCGACGGTGTACAGTACACTGCAATAGACAGTCATACTGTGGTGTATACTGAACGTGCTGTTCTACTGTACTGTACTGTAGGGTAATATTGTTTCCAGCGGAGATGCATTGCTAACTCGACTTATACTGTCGATTTGTTGCGATTTTAGCGAATAATTCCATCTCCCGGACCCAACGGATTGTCATGATTATGAGTGATGTATTTTGAATGATCGCTAATATGAAGTAAAAGACGATCTGATTCATTACAATATCGTTGGATGGAGTTGGCAAATGGGTGTAGTGATACTGAGTAGTCTCTTCTCTTCGTGGACTACTAACATACCAATATTACTGTCCTAGTCCAAGCCACAACATACTGTTGTCTACTGTACTATACAGTAGAGATTTCAAGCTTGTAACCAATTTTACGGGAAAAGTCGAGAATATCTCCAGAAATAAGAAACAAGTTGGCATTCGCAAGTTCTTAGGCTACAACCAAATATAGAATTGATCCAGTTTGGGCCTGATTGAGCTAATACAATTCTATGTTTTCAGGGTGCCATCGATAATAATCACACTCAGCGTGATTATTATCGATGGCACCCTGAAAANCATAGAATTGTATAATGTCAATCAGGCCCAAACAGGACAGTGTGATCATTATCGATGGCACCCTGAAAACATAGAATTGTATAAGCTCAATCAGGCCCAAGCAGGACAGTCCTGTAGTCTGTTCTCATACTGCGCAGAACAATAGTGTACAGTGTACAGTACAAATAGTGCTACTGTACACTGTAGCCTACTGTGTACAACCCTTTACAAACCCAATTGTCACCCCCTGAGTACAGTGACACTTACATAACTCTACATGCAATTATTATTTATAAAACTTAGCTTACATGATAGGTAGGAGGTATGCTCATTATTTGAGCTTGATGCTGCAACATTAGAGCTTAATGCTGCAACATTAGAGCTCGATGTCACAATACTCCACAGTAGAGTACTGTAGAGTAGAGTACAGTACCAACCGAACTCGCTACAGTACATACTTTCAATTGGGTTTGTACAAACCCAATTATCACCCCCTGAGTACTGTAGAGTAGAGTACACTCAGTACAGTACAGTACTGTAGTGTAGAGTACAGTACTGTACACTACAGTACTTTACACTGTACAGTACAAACCAAACTCGCTACAGTACATACTTTCAGGGGGTGACCATTGGGTTTGTAAAGGGTGTACCATACAGTGGCTTTCACTATCCCACGCAAATTGGCGATTTCCTTCTTTCCACTGCAAAGTAGGCATCAAGGTATTGGTTAGCATTATGGCCAAGTTTTATGGCGGAATTGAAGGGTAAGGGCAATATGCTATCTTCTTTAGCTTGATCGAGTTCATTGCACAATGCCATTATTCTACCTGTAGTAACTATATGATGATGGAAAGTATACCTAATGCATGGTAACACACAACCTCAGTCGTCTACGACTCGTCTTGTCACAGGCCTTGACGTACAGAACTGTATATAAATCAGGAATATTTCTATTGATTGATTGTCAATGGTTCTATCATCGATCGTTTAAAGTATTCATCAATGCTAGTAGCTACTATCGTACTGTCTATAAAATTCAATGGATTACTAGTACTCATTAGCTACTGTTGATGATTCCGTCATCATGTTTCAAAACGATGCGTAATGACTGTACATGCAGACCAAATGGACAGTTGTCCATCACCGGTATCATTTATCCTACAGTAATACTCTACCCTTCTATCAATGAAAATGATGATGTTAGATCAACATTATCAATAATGCATTGATTGACTATGGCCAAAATTAGCCTAAGAGTATTTCATTTCTAAAACATATTTTCAATATCAACGAGCGCTGATGTTCAGATTGGAAATTAGGCATTACATGGAAATCGATCAATATTACCCGATCAACATCCTATACTGTAGACTACAGTATACGATACATTGCATTCACTCAGTATTCAACGAGACGCTTATAACATGACAACATACGAGTATTGCATTAGCTAACAACCATTTCCAATCAAATTAGAGGTTGTTGGTATCATCATCATCATCATAAAATCCCCTTAATCGTATTCTAGTTGGAAAGTAAATAAATATTACCTCTTTAGCATTAGTAGTATTAATTCTACAAGACACTTGATAACATCGCTAATCTAGCCGTTCTCACTCATTCATTTCTTTCCAGTGGTGGCTCAACGTCCAACATGATTATTATGGATTCTACGGGACAAATTATGGGACGTAGTTACGGTACCGGAACTAACCCATGGGTAAGATTAATAACAGTAATTGATGCACGTGTATAATGATATATTCATAGACGACTTCGTGGATGCTGATAGACAAAGATGAGCTGGTATTCGCTACTATGGTACACTGTAGTATCCATTCATACAGTATGATGTCTATTCACAACATATTTACCTTACTGTACCAGTGAACACTATTCAGCATGGATTTCGCTGTCTACGCTCGGCCTAAAATGGATCAGCAATCGTAACAACTGTGCTAACCTGTTCATTGCTAGTTTTGCTTAATTCATCTCAATACTCTACTGACACACGAAAGAGATTCTATAATAACAATAACTGCGATTTGAATCTAAACTTATTATTCATAAATCCTACATAGCTTATTGGTCGTGATGAATGCGTTGATAAAATTAAAGAGTTATCTGATGAATGTAAGCGAAATGCCGGTCTGAGTCAAGATCAGCAACTGCAAATCCTGGTATGTTATATATTCTATATTTTTAGCGGAATAAGATTGAATTTTCTTCTCTATACCTTTTTATGTAGGCTAACACAATGGATGACATTTTAATAACTATTATTATTATCGATAGCGACCGTTATTAACAGTCAAATAAGCTACCAGTACATACACAATTCTCTTACTACTATATTACAAAGTATTCTTATAAGCGTATATATACTGCATATCATGTAAATTTTCAAGTAAAATTGCATCTGTACATAACTCATGAACTGTTGAATAGGGAATGTCAATAAGTGGTACTGAATCACAAAGTACACAAGATGAAATTATTGGCAAACTTCATGATCGCTATCCTAATCTTAGCAAAAGCTATTATATGTGCAATGATACATTTGGCTCGCTAGCTACCGGCTTTGAAGCTGGTAAAAAACATTGATAACATTGATTAAGGATCTATCGATACAATAGTTCGAGATGAGTTTGTTACGATCCAAGCGCGACAGCTTCAAAATTGTTTTGCTTTATTTTTAAAGAAGGCTATATTTTTAGTACACTTATTTATCTCTCTTATTAGGAATTGTTCTGATATCTGGCACGGGATCTAATTGTTTATTAATCAATTCTGACGGTACAACTCGTAATTGTGGTGGCTGGGGTCATCAATTAGGGGATCATGGTGGAGGTAATTGTACTGTAAATGTAAATTTATGCTTCTGCTCTGTTCATATTTCTTGAACTACATAATTCTAGGCTACTGGATAGCGCATAAGGCAATTACTACCATTTACTATCACTGGGACAATTTCGAATTATCCAAGCATGATATTGGAAAAGTAGAGAAGCTTCTAAGGGAATATTTTCACGTAAGCTCAATTGATCTTAATTGTAGTGTATACGCCTACTTTTATTTTCGTATTATATTCTTGAATTTCAATTTATTGAAAATCGTATACTCTTATGCATCAAAAATACTTACTTCACTAGGTGGAAGATAAGAACGATATTTTACCACATTTCTACACTAAATTTGAAAAAGGCTTTGTGGCAAAGTTTTGCACCGCATTAGCTGAGGGTATACAAAATCGCTACTTGTAATTTTGACAACATTTGTAAGCGCAATACTAAGTACTACATTAATATAACCCACTCTTTATTTCTTTGAAGTGGCCAATACTGGTGACCCACTGGCATGTGAAATCTTCAAAGAGGCAGGTTATACCTTAGGGAGACATGTTGCAGCTGTTTCCCCCTTCATAGAAAAGGTATGAGTATGGATTGTATTTTTACGCTATAATGTTCACATTGGCGAAATTTATGGATATATGTATGAAAATAACCACACCGATGCTATCCGATATTTACAAGATTCTATAGTCTAATCACGAGTAATATTGAGACGAACTAGTGGAAAACTGATATTATCGTGATTAAAAAACCATAAATGCTGTATTTATCTTATCGCCATAAAACTGTTTTGCCATGTAGCCTTTACTGGAACAAGAAAATGGAGTTGCTATTTTGTGCGTAGGTTCGGTTTGGAAAGGCTGGAACCTGCTAAAAGCTGGTAGGACATCTATTTATTAAATGTTAATTATAATACAATTGAATCTCTTTTCTATTATTTAGTACTTTGCCTATTTCGTACTTGTTAGGCTTCTTACAAGGAATTCATAGCACTACTGACAGTCAACGGTTGATTAAAAAATTCCAGTTGGCTACCTTAAAGGAGAGTTGCGCTGTTGGAGCCGCTATACTTGCTGTTAAAGATAAGAAAGATCAATTAGTCGTTGACTGCTCTAAGAACGTTGATATATTTTTTAAGCATACTTTTTAATCAGTACTCATTAATAATCAGTCTATGAAATTTTCTTCGATAGCTTTTATCTTTAGACTGGCTGTTAAATGTAAAAATTGTCGATAATCTTGATTATTTTATTTTTTAAAAGAATTGGTTGCTTATAATTGGTAACTGTGTTCTTATTAGTCAATTAATTGATATTTTTCGACATATAGTCAGTACTACAATATCGTAGACATGTGTTGCTATGAATTGTATTACGTCCATGAAGGAATTAGTACAGATTTAATTGTTAATTGTGATCAGATATTTTTCAACCCTATTAGAAGACAAAACATATCGTATGTTCATTCATTAATTTTTATGTATTGATTACGGTCTTCATTGCCTACAACCAAATATTTTGATTGCTTTCAAACGAAGACAAACTTGTGTTCTTTGTGCAGATATGACGGCAAAGCGGAATTTTACGTTTGATAGCGAGTGATTTATACCTCATGTCATAGGATGTGTTGTATTAGTGAACCTCAGACATTGTATATCAAAGAAATTATAACACATTTTTAATAAAATATTTCCTGACAAACCCTCCAAGTTAACACCAATAATAGCTGCTGGGTATGCATTGATGGACGATATTGAAATACAAATATCCAATTATTTTACTGCATTAAGTACTGCAATAATCGTTCGATTACAGTTTTGTTTCTATATAGCAGAATGAATTGTACTCTACAGAATGATATGGGTAGATTGTCAAGCATGCAGCCTAATAATTACAACTTTTATAGTGGTAGTTAATGTTGAAGATTAGCCGGAACTAATTAATTATCGCTAATTCAGTACATATGCTTGCTAGAAATCTGATCTTCTGAAGAGGCCTTATGAAGTCGATTTACTCGCTAAGAAAATTTTATTAAAAATTAAGAATTAAATATTAAACAATCTAGGATAAGAATTATTTAACCCTTAGGCAATATCTTGCCGAAACGATGGTTATCCTCAACCTATATTTGCAGCTAATACTAAATTTTATAAAAATGAACGGGGATTATTTACAGAAGATAGATATAAATTTTATCAGTTTAACAAATACATGATCTATGGTGATAAAGTGACGTTCTAGCGGCGAGGAGATCTTCTACGATGATAAGTGTCTCTGTCTTTTAAGTAATCCTTACTAGAATTTCCTCGAGCTTTATCAGATCTATATCTTGTATCATCCCTATAATTATCTCGCTTGCTTCTGCGACCGTCATCACGGTCAGAATGTCGTTCGTAATGCCGGTATCTTTTATCATCATTATGCCTCTCCTTACGTGAAGAATCTGCCCTTTGATCATATTTACTTGAGGAATGTTGTCTCGGTGAAGAGTCACGGTGTTTATGTTTCTAAGCAGGTAATAAGGCCATAATCGAGCTTTTAAATAACTCCTTCGGATAATATATAGTGATTGACACAATATTGTGGCAATTGCAAAATTTAGTTTTCAATGTACCTGTTGATGAGAATGTTTTCGAGAAGAACTCTCTTGATATTGTCTTCTGTTTCCACTATCTTCTTCATCATCAAACACGAAATCATACCTGTAGAATTTGATGGCAAAGAGTGCTATGCTATTAGAATACTGTAAGAACTTGACATCATTAGAAATAAAGTAGCATTGATTATGTCCTGATTTATATTTAAATTTACTGTCGTACTCATTCTTTTCGACGTATTTATCCTTTAATTGTAGCTTTGTCTGATTTGTCTGTTTTTTTGTTTCTGGTAAGTAAATGTAAAGTGGCAAGAATAGCATTATTGGTATCATCAAACTGAAAAAAAGTTTTACAGTGCATAACAAACTACAAACCTTTAGCTTTCTTGAACATATCCCACTTCATTTTTGCAACAGACTGGCTAAAATCAACATGAATACGTCGATCATCGATCAATACGTTATCCATCTTGAAATACGCTTTCTCACAATTGTCAACCTAATTAATTGAAAAGATTAGCATAATATCATATCAAACATTAAGTTGTAGGTATAATATTCTTGATAAGTTTGATAAGAGCAATTGAACAAGATGATTAAGCTTACATTTTCGTATTCAATAAAAGCATAACAAAGAGAATCTCCAGTCTTTTGATCACGAATGACTTCACAACTGTATCAAAATAGAAGAAAGCTATATCAGGATTACAGTAAAGTAAACTTATAATCACTAACAAGTTTATTGTGGCAAAATTTAACAATTACCTGAGTATAGTGCCAAATCGTGAGAATATGATTTCAAGATCTTCAGAAGATGTCACCGGATTTAATTTACATATGAATAAAATATTTTCAGGCGGTTTTATTTCTGCATCTGGAATATCGCCTACCTAAAAGCAAGAATAGCAGAGCGATTAGATAACTGTAGTACATTCATACATAGAAAAATGCATTGAAATTGACTTCGAGGTATCTAATTTGCAGACAAATACGTTAGCGATTGACTTCAGCTAATTCGACTAACCATTTCTAATATATGTGATTCCGCTTTAGCTTTTCTATCCTTGCTCATTTCTTCGATTTCTTCCATAGTTTTACCTTCCGTATCATCTAACTTTTCGTCAGCACCAATACGACCCGACTAAAATTTGTTTAGAGTAAACATTGTATTTAAGTGTACTGCCTAAATTACTTATAGGGGTCAAATTACCGTAAAGTTCTATCAAATACTGTACAGATGGATCTCTATTCATACCTGTAGTAGTTCTTGTGTTGGCTCTGGGGATCTATCAGGAATTTCTAGACCTGCCGGATCATCATAAGGATCGTCCAGTACAATAGTATGATTAATCCTGTTGGACATTGCAACGAAAGTTCTTGTTAGAAAAAGTATAATACAGGGCAGGGCATAAATTAAACCAACGAATCAATAGATTTATCAACTATTTAATTCCGTGCCTGATGTCACGATAGGGTTGGTACCGATCATCACAAATGGCTTCGTTCATTTTTTGCAGGACATCATCACCTTCTACAACTTGGCCAAATACAGTATGTTGACCATCCAAGTAATCAAGATCTTCGTCCAGTGTAATGAAAAACTATGTGAAAAGATGAATAGGCATACTCTTATGAGGAAAGGTATTTATTTAGTTGATTACTAATACTAATGAAGTCTGTTGCTTACTTGTGATCCGTGCATGTTGTTTCCATTGTTAATAAATGAGACAGTGCCTAGTTTATTGTGCTTTATTCGAGGAACAGTTTCAGCTTCGAAAAACCTTGCTTGTTCACCATAAATTTGTCTTTAACGGATGATAGAAGTACTGATTAATTGTCACAATTAATGACGTCATTGGACATTGGTTTTGTGACTGCATCTTAACTTTAGCAAGATGATGTAGCATACTACTACTGTTACAGTAAAGTAGAAGTTATATTATGCCATTGGAAGGAGCAAAAATTCGTATCGTATTACGAACACGTATAGTACTTGGATGTACTTTACACAATATGATCTACAGTATATCAGTAACTTATTACACGCTACAAGATAGTATTTACCTAAAGACAGATTCACCGCCATTCCCAGTACCTGTCGGATCACCCGTTTGTGCAACATAATTTCGCTGCGTATATAGTATAGCATTCATGATGATGATATTGAGAAAGATATGCATGTTAATATCAAGGTATAACGATCATTCAATAAAATGAGGTTAATGTTCTTCTAGTTAATCCATTAGGATGGCCTGATTATTACCTTAATATAGTGAAACAAACAAAAGTTGTAATACTTGGTTTTGCATAACTTGAGAAAATTCAAGCAAGCTGAAATGGATGAAGAGGAAGACGATCAGATGACAATATTAGTGTTTTACTACGCCAAGTTATGGTTCCATGGACTTATCTACGACTTATTCATACGTTGGACTATGACTTACATCGTGGTCTTTCATCAGTTAACAAATCGATTACAATATCTCCAATCGTGGTCTCAATTAGGACAGACATGTTGCCAGCTCGTTTTTGCTGCAGCTCGACTTGATTTCTGGCATTGCCAACGCTGCTGCCAGAAAGTGTTTGGTTTACGGTACAGTACTGTACCATAGACATGTCCAGTAGGGTACAGTACAGTATCAACCATCTCGCTTACAGTACAGTACTGTACTGTACCGTAAACCAACTCCCTTACGGTACTGTACTAAAGGCACTGACAGACAGACATATAGTACGGCTGTACAGTGTACAGTACTAAAGGCACTGATCGACAAACGTACAGTACAGTACAGTGTACAGTACTAAAGGCGCTGATCAACAGACATACTGTACACTGTACAGTACTAAAGCCACTGACCGACGGACATCTAGTACAGCTGTACTAGTACTAGAACGATTACGAGTACAGTACCGTACAGTACTACGGTCACCATGACGGGCATACTGTAGAGGGAAGAACCTCTATGGTGACTGACAGTAGTGTACAGGACACTACTGATAGCCAAAAAGACAGCCAACTGCAGACCGTTTACTTTACAGGGGTAAAAAGCAAAAAGTAACGTTTAGAAAGCTTTTCCATTTCATGTTTGCAGTCCCCTAATCCTCCGTAATCATCGTCATACAGGTTGATTCGATTTTTTAGTGTACAGTATAATACTGTAAATCTAATCCCATCAATACTGTACTGTACTGTACAGTACAGTGTACAGTGTACAGTACTGGAATACGGACTGTTACTTTATACTGTAATGTACAGTACTGCAGTTTACAGTACAAACCAGACACGGGACTGTAAAGTCGTCATCGTTTTTAAATTTCTTCGTCAGCCAATCAACGCTGAGGATAACTTGTTCTCCATCAACTATCTTTGTTTCCCGACATTATTGGACACCGTTGCTTTGCTAGCTGCTTTAGTTCACAGTAGATCGCTTCTATATCATAGAATTTCCATGTGTTGCTGCAGAAATCCAAAGAAATTAATCAACTAGCGTAGTAGCAATTTCTTGACGGCATCTTAATAGGAGAGATACAAGGTAAAGTCAGGTCATAAGACGCATCTCAGTACCACATTGATTTTAAATTTGTTGTTGTTGGTAGAGGTCGCAAATGGCTTCAAGTTGCAGTCATGTAATTCTCATCTTTATTCAATGCACGAGTAAACAGCGCATCTACTCGTATTTTAATCTTATTCTTGAATTATATTAGGGTAAACAGGTCAATTTTGGGAACAACAGAATATTATTCAGTTTGCAAATCCAACCAATCAAGGTAATATTGTGAGATCAGTAGTGTTCAATCAACTAAGATCGGTAGTATTAAACTGTTTATTTTCCAGTAGTCCAGAAAGATGAGGATACGATAATAATTATAATGAATTGTAATGATATGATCTTACAATGTTATATACAAATTTTACCATACGAGAAATTAAAGATGACTGTTGGCTACTCTTGTAATGCAGTGATATATACAGTATCTGAACTAGGACTAAACGCCACAATCAATCAATACAGGCTTGCTACAGTAGCGTACAGTAATTTACTGTAGACATGCATCAATTTTGATTGCACACTTTCATAGAGTAACTGTAGAATCGAATATATCCCGAATACACATGCGATCAATTTTCCATTACAGAATTGCAGTAGAGTATATGCATAAGTGAAAAACACAGTATGGAATATCACAGGATCAATTCCATGATTTCAGGTCGCTTGGCTTATAGAGCCATTTTAATAGCAAACAGCATTAGTCAACATTGTACGTAGAACATCCCAGCATATCGCATAGGAGTATCGTATACATTTGCACAGTTGATAATAATTATTATATATATAATAAATAGGAATGTAAAAGATTGATTGTATGTAATGTACTCTATACGTTTTACTTCAATTTAATGCACAAAGTTCATGATGTTGATAATAATTATAATGGCACAATGATTGTGTATCTTTTCCAAATAGAAATATGCTACGACAATTGTCTAAACCGATTATATTCAAGAATAGCTAGAGTATATAGCAAGTATACGACCAGTTTTAAGTTTTATTACCATAATCGATTGCTTACCCCTTCATAGTGAACGCCAATTATGTTATGTACTGTATTCACAAAAATGATATCTTACCCATAAACATTAAACGATAAATGTGTAAGATATATTCATATGTGTACACTGTACATGCAGTGCGATTATCGTTGCATATAGATACGTATACGCCATAATCATCTTTGGCAAAGTAAGGTAGTTTCTGTACAGTACAGTATGGAATTAAAATCATTTTGTATACGTTCATTTGTTACAAGCATTACATTGATTTTTTATGTCTGTAGGCTATCACATTATACTAGCAAATTTTGATCCTCCCAACAATCAAATATGGATAAATCGACACGAACTGTAAATCTTAAGAGTCAAAGTAAACTTCGACAGCCAACCACGATTAAAAGAGCCTTAATAACACAACCAAATCATCACAATTCAGATCAAAATGTAAATCTATCAAAGCAATTCTTATTAATGAACGCATAGTGATAGTTAAGTTAATAAGCTCATGACTAAGTTAAGCTAATATAGTTGAATGAACTATTACAGCTTGAAATATCTTTAACAATGCTATATTTTAGAATGTACAACCTAAATCGAAGAAAATCAAATTAGGCATTGATGGCAAAGAAAATGCGCCTACTCACGGACAGACTAAACCTCGGTCAAAAATATCAAACGCTACTAGTGGTCGTCAACCATGCTCTAAAGTTATTTCAGCTTTATCAACACTCGCAAAAGGCGGACGTAATACGAATGATCGCAGCAAAAAAATCATATCAAAGCCTGTCGCAAGTAAGACGGCTAAAACAGGAGCCGCATCATCAAGGTCAGCACCACAATCTAAACGTGTCATTACCAATACCAAGGCGACTAATAAAGCAAGCCAAAGTAAGAACAGCGCTCAATCATTTAGCATCGAAGGTAAGCGTATACTGACTTAATAGTAGTTAAATCTATATCGGCGTTGTCCTCCTTGTTTTAATAAGTTAGTGCTATAGAGCTATTGTTAGCTTAAAGTTGCCCGTTAATAAGTTTCTTCATTGGATACAGTATACTGGTATTGATATAATTTAAAATTATGCAAAAGTTACAATTATAAAATATGATTTAGTAAGCTACTGAAAAGAAAAGTCCTTACTTTTTACTACGCCATACATTATAGAGTTGGATGTAAAATTAGCCGCAATGCAAGCTGAAGCTAAAAAGTTACCAAAATGGGATATAAAACGAAAAGGCGAAATATATCAAGAAGGGTTTCATCTAATTCCTTTGTTGCGGCAATCTTATACTGACCAGTACGGAGATTATGAGGAAAAGACCAAGCAAATAACGACCGAAAATCAAAAGCTAAAGGATTCGTTCGCCGAATTAGATAAAAATTACAAGTCCAGTACGGCTCAGGTGACTTCTTTAACGAACCATCTTGATAGAGTACAACGAGAACTTAATTTAAAAATGGAAGAATGTGGTCGATTGACTCAAACAGTTGAGAAGCTCAATAATGAAATCCATAATCATTTAAAAACCATCGACGAAAGGGATGCAGAGATACGTGAAAACGAAGCTATTAGAAGAAAGCTACATAATGAAGTTCAAGAATTAAAGGGTAACATCAGAGTTTATTGTCGTGTCCGGCCATTGTTGAAAGGCGAAGATAATCAAGACTGCGATTTACCAATCACTTTTGATAGTAATTGTGATAAGAACATCCAGATACATCATAGTAACACGAATGATGTAAGCATCAATGTCTTAAGTATTTATTTTATTACAAAGATATTTTATATCAAGTATAATTCTGGCTATGGAATAATAATCACATTACAGTATTCAAATTGTTGGTTGCTGTTATTTAATAATTTCGTAGGATGGCTGTAGAAGAACTACATCTGAAAAGTATGATTTTACCTTTGACAAAGTATTCAATCCCACTAGCGCTCAGGAAGATATTTTCCTCGAGATCTCTCAATTGGTACAAAGTGCTTTAGATGGCTACAACGTTTGTATTTTTGCTTATGGGCAAACTGGTAGCGGCAAAACATACACCATGGAAGGTTGCGTAGATCACAATTCGGGGAGTAATAATGCAAGAGCTGGAATGATTCCTAGGACTGTCAACCAAATTTTTACATCTGCTAGCGCATTATCTAGCAAAGGTTGGAAGGTTAGTTTTGTCGTTTTAGATACTTACAAATAATAATAAGTTAGCATGTTATTCGATTTTGAACAAGATTATGATATAAGCCAACAATTGCTATACACTTCTTGATATTAAATGACTTAATCAATGCAACGTCCTTTAGACTGAATTAAAATGAAGAGACCTGATCTAGCTTTAATTTTACTAATGTATCTTGTCGTTTACTATTTGTAGTATGATATTGAAGCTTCCTTCTTGGAGATATACAACGAAACTGTCCGCGACTTACTTGAAGACAATCATAAAAAGAAAGAAAATATTAAATACGAGATTAAATTAACGAAATCCAGTAATGGTGTAAATCATGTAGCAGTAACAAACGCTAAGATAGTTAAAGTTGAGTCTGAAAGACAAGTAAGCATTATAGAGATTAATACAGAATTATAATCAGAATATTTATTTACGTTAAAAAATGTACCTGATGTTGCTTCATTACATGTTAATTGTATATTTTTGATATGCATATTAAAGCATAACTTATTACTTAGGTGTACGACTTACTGAAAGTTGCTTCACGTCATCGAGCTACCGCAGCTACAAAATGTAACGAATATTCTTCGCGCAGCCACAGCGTATTTCGACTGAACCTCATCGGTAGTAATAGCTTAACTGGACAGAATTGTGAAGGTATAGATCTACAAGCGTACATAAGATTTAGTTTATAGGAAATGAATCTAACTCATTTTACTTAGAGACCATTTTTAACATATCGTATGCAACGATCAACCTAAATGTTAATTTAGGGACTTTAAATCTTGTCGATCTGGCTGGTTCTGAACGAATAAATGTATCCGGAGCAACCGGTGATCGATTAAATGAAGCTAAAAATATCAACAAGAGTTTGAGTACCTTAAGTAAAGTAATTCTGTCACTGGCTAATAAGGTAATACAGTGATAGCATAGTAAAATGTCATTAATTATAATTATGCGCTTTCGTTGTTGATAATAATGTTAAAAATTATGTTATTTCAAATTACTAGACATTTACAATCTGGTTACAGCGGACAATTTTTTTTGCTTTTATAGGATTCTCATATACCTTACAGAAATTCAAAGTTAACCTACTTGCTACAAAACTCTTTGGGTGGCAACAGTAAAACGTAGGACTAGATATAATTGTCTTTATTGTATATTGCAAACTACAGACTAAAGCTTTTACATTTTAATAAGTAAGAATCTTTTTTGAACGTATCTAAATATCGCTATGTAGGTTAATGTTTGTGAATATTTCACCTTCCATTCATTGTTTTCATGAGAGCTTAAGCTCTTTACGGTTTGCTACTAAGGTAAGCTGATGTTCATTATTATTAAATTATGTCTCTAAATTATCAGTGCTGAAAAAGTAATAGCGTCAACAAAAATAATATGTATGTTATTAATATAACTTTGGCTTTTGCATTGAAATGCTTTTAGGTCAATAATTGTCATATTGGTACTGCAACCAAGAAAGTCAAGTGAACGTAATGTGTCCTTCGACTACATTTACTTTAAATATAACCTGCTATGCACTATCTAATTTCATTATCATGAAATGTTGCACCGAACGAACTGTAAATAGCAAAGGATTCGATTATGAAGTCATTATTTTTACCAACGCTAGATGTTAAGTTAAATGTGAAGAGATAGATAGTTTATTCCCTTAATAAATATGAGAGGTTATAACTGCTAGCAACATAATGCCTCACATTTTAGCTAGAGGTCAATTTAGAACAAATCTTACAAATGTAGACATAAATTCCATTTAGTATACCGTACTTATTTACTATTAATCAGCGGTGAGGTGATCAATTATCGTTGAATAATTTTTGATAGTAAAACGCAAGGTTTGAATTTTATATAGCAATTACAAATTTTTCTCTCCTTACCTGTTAAAATTACTTGTTAATGACTACTAGATACTGTATGTACTTTACATGAGAGAGAAAATGAATGCTGCTATTTCTACATTTAATACCTTACTATTTAAAGCCTTCGGGTAAGAACTGTATCCTTGTCTAAACCACGACTTCCTGTAAATCCTTTATCATTTATAATCAACTTCATTATCGTTGCCAGTAACTACTTCCTATAGCAATAATAAATATTGATTTAATTCCGTGATAAATGGATACCATCATTTTTTCTCATCCTATTAGTAATGCATCCTGATAAGTTTATTGTATTTTGCAAAATCTAACAATAAAAAACCTGGAAAAAATTTATTAAGTCCAAACTTATGGAAGTGGTACTTTTTATGTATTTATATTTACTAATTAGTATTTATAAAATTAAAAAATATAACATAATATATAATATGATTACTGTATACAGTATATAGTTTATTTACTCGTTCATCACAGTTTTTTTTCCGATAATAAAAATATAGCAACTGTGTAACCGATTACATACAATTTCCGTACATGACTGTTTCGTAACTGTATTGATAACTCCTTTGATTTCAAGAAAATGACGATTACTCATGTAGCACCGTCCTAAAGTCATTGTTTACATAACTAAAATATGGCATTATTATGCCTCATATAGGCCTTATTTTACAGTATATGATTCGGTGTAGCCTATGCAAAAATGATTGATTGATCCATGAATTAAAATTTGGGCATAATAATGTCAACTTGTTGGATAGATTTGCATAGACGTAAGTCAACAATGTAATTTCCCCTAATGTGATTGAATTTTTATTTCTATAATAAATTAAGACATTTATAGTTTAA